TTTTTTTTTTTTTTTTTTTTTTTTTTGATGATAGACACTTGGTGTATTTTTCGCGATCTCTGCTCCCTCTACTCCCTTCGCAATATCCCCAATCCCAATCTTGGACTACGTTATTCCGGTCTTCTTGCATTGGACTCGAGTTGTTTTGGAGCCGTTGTTATTGTCATCTTCAGACATCTCGCACAATTCCTTGAGCTGCCCTCATAAGGTGATCTCCGTCTCTCTATTCTACTCTTTGTTCGTTGAAGGTACATATGGATGCAACTTGTTGAATGGCATTGCGAATGGCGTCGAATTCCTGCGTGAGCCCCAAAAGCACAGAAAGAGAATCTTCAAAATGAGCATGATCCACGGTCTTAAATGATCACTGCATGGCGTGTTTTCGGGTTCTCTTTTCCCAATCTTTTCCAGTGGGGAGTTTTGGACTGGCTCTCCATGGTTTTGTTTTGCCTGGATTGAGCCATTCATATCATATCCCCTTTGCTTTAGTTTGCTTTTCTTGTATGCCGTGAGCATACTAGGAGTCTTCCTATGGAGGCATCCGTAATCAAGGGCAGTTTGTTTTCTTTTCTCAGCACATGTATCTTATGGAGTGGCTGCCATGGCGTCGACTGATTTCCTCATCTTCCTGGGATCATCCAGTGGGGATCGTGTTATTTGACTTTCTTCGCTTTTATTTTCGGTCAGAACCAACGTAAGTCTAGCAAAGCCTTCGAGCCTCAGTCTGAATCATTTAAGACTACAAGTATCTGTAGACCATCACATATAGACTACAGGGCGTAGGTAGGTAGGCGAATCAAAGAGAAGGATCCGGTCTATCAATCCACACTCATCCACAGGATTTTATAAGAATTCTAAACAGGCCGTACATATATATGGCAAAGCCAGCTCATGCTTAGCAGATAACACCAGAAACCAAGAGACAAAGGGTAACTGAAAAGAAAACAAGGACGCCCTATAGGAAAATAGACGCCCTTATTGACAACTGTGCCATGGTTTCTCCTACTTAGCCTTGCATTACAATCGGTCAGCTGAGAAGAAAATGATGATTATTGACAGTATAATTGTAGTGATCACCCATAGTGGT